TTAAGATTTTATTTATTTATTTGACAGAGAGAGACAGCGAGAGCAGGAACACAAGCAGGGGGAGTGGGAGAGGGAGAAGCAGGCTTCCTGCTGAGCAGGGAGCCCGATGTGGGACTCGATCCCAGGACCCTGGGATCATGACCTGAGCCGAAGGCAGACGCTTAATGACTGAGCCACCCAGGCGCCCTGGCAGGTTCTTTTCTGTCTGAGCTTTCGCTAGCGTGATTTACCATCCTGGTTGCCCAGGACTGTACCCATTTTAGCACTCAAAGTCCATGTCCTGTGTCACTTCTTGGGCCTGGGGGAGGTTCTAGAGAAACAGGTGAGACCCATGTTAAATCTCCCAACAGAGACTCGCGATTGTTCTGCTAAAGGCACTTTCCCTCCACTCTGAGGATGCATAAGCCATAAAAGTCCCATCAGCAGTACCCTGCCCTTCTTGACCTCAGGGCTCATTTTGCCACTTGTCCTTCACTGCTTCCCCTGGGTCTGTGAGGGCTTAAGCAAAAACGGGTTGCTGCATCATTCACGTTCAGCAACTGTGTTTTGACTTGCCAGTGTGAGTACAGCTGTTGTATGCACTTGCCCACTTTTTTCATACTCTTCCTTCTAGTCCACCGGGTCACAAACCTCTTTGACAATCTACGTGCTTATTCATAGAGTCATTCCTGCAACGAGTCAGCAAATGTTACTGAATACCTGCTCTGTACCAGGCTGTGACTAGGCACTTGCAATATTGTGAAACATACAGACAATATTCCTGCCCACATGAAGCTTATAAATGAGCTCCTAATCTTGAATCTGAGAGAAACTATGGGCTCTTTCCTCAGAGAATTTGGAGAAATTATAAATTTTCCAAACGTTAGCAGGGAGTTCACATACCTTACCCTAAAGCCTAGGATGCCTGCCTGTAAGAGTAACCAAGAGGGATACTTGGGCTCAGGGTTTTGTGGAAGTTGGTATCTTTTTTTGCACTCTTAACTTTGTTGTTTGTTTGACAGAAACCATACTCAGGAGGTCTCTGTCTCCAAGAAGCAGCCCGGGAAGGCAGCAGCATTTCTCCACCGTGGTTCATGGCCTGTAGCCCCCCACCCCTCTCTGCTTCCTGCAGCCCCATTGGGGGTTCCTCCCAGGTGCTGAGTGAAAGCGAAGAGGAGGAGGAGGGGGCCGTGCGGTGGGGGCGGCAGGCACTGAGCAAGCGGACACTGTGCCAGCAGGACTTTGGGGACCTGGACTTGAATCTAATTGAGGAGAACTAAAACTGAGAGGCTACTTCCTGGGGCCACACAGACTGACTCTCTATGGCTACTAACAAGTGTCGAGGCCCCAAGGCCGGGGGCCCAGCCTGGGAATGGGGGTGAGTGGAGGGCTCCGACTCAGGGCAGCCGGAAATCTTCTCGCTCCAGGAAGCTCGACCATGCCAAGAGACTGGCCGGGACAAGATAAACGGAGCTGGTGGCGGGAGGGACAGCCCCAGAGCAGACCCTTCCCATGGCGGCCCTGAGTGTGAGTATCCCTGCCACCGAGAAAGCAATGGGCAGGGAAGGAAGGGGTCTGCTGACCCCAGCTCGGGGAATTTCACTAGCCCCTTTGCTTCAAAGGGCACTTGTGTCTTAGAATTTGGCCAGGGTGGGGGGTTCATTCAGCCTCCTCGGAGAAATTGTGTGAGAGTGTGTGCGTGTATGGGAGTGTACTTGGGGAAAGGTGTGTTTGTGTAGCCTTAGGGAAGGAAGGCAGTTGCTCCTTAACAGCAGAGCATCATGATCCCCCAGGATCTTGAATTTTCATGGGATCGCAGGCTTATTCAAAAAGTCAAGAGGAGGGCACCAAGTTTTCCTTTTTTCTAAGTAGCTCTGGAACCAGGCTTATAATCCATAAGCACCTCTGGTTCTGCAGAGGATTATCTTTGGGGTATGGCAGGGTCTTTTAAGTGCTGTGACCCCAGCTAATGGTCTTTTTCTTAGGCCCATCCCCTCCCCTAGGTAGATCTAATATTGGAACTGGAGAGGGCTCTTTACATTGATTCTGAGCTGGCCTTTTTTCCTCATCAGATTGCATAGGCTGTATACAACTTGCCTTTGTCTCTAAGTAGATGTAAGCGCATGTGGGCAACTGAGGCAGAGTTGGAGGGGCTCCATCTTCCTCTTTCCCTCTCTACTGATGGGACTCCCCCCCCCCCCACTCTCTGAGCTTCAAGGGTCAAGAACATGGAGGGAAGGCCGTGTGTATTGGTCCCCATTATCTGAGGCCCACCTGCTGCAGAAGTGGCATTCCGTGCCCAGTAAGCATGGGTAAGCTTATCCCAGTGCTGCCCTTTGGAAGCAGACTATAGGGAAACCTGTTGTTAAAAGATCCAGGCCTAACCTCTTTTCTGACCTGCTTGAGAAAGTGGAAAGGGATGTCAGCATTTACCAGTTTGCTTGTCTTCCATTCCTGCCAGGAAATGTTTATTTGCCTCTAATTGTACCTGAGAGACCTCAGGGAGGTTGGGGCTCACTGAGGGTTTGGCTGAGGATGTGTAAAGCAAAGGCTATGAGAAGCAGCTGGGAGTTTGTTGTTGTTGTTGGATTGAATTTGCTTTTTTTTTTTGTTTTGTTTCTCACCCATAACTTGAGCCAGGGCAGCAGGTCCCAGTGGCTGCAGTGGTGGGTTTAATGGCTGCCGGACCCTTAGGCCTGGCACCAGTGGAGATACATATGGAAGCGGCCGCCAAATAGCTTGTGAGGCTTTATCCAGCTTTGGTTGACCCTGCACAACTGAATTGGACCTGCCATTCTGGTTTATTGGAGGAAGGTCGTTCTCTTCAATTTCCAGGGTGTCTTGGGATCCAATTCCTCATGTTAGGGAAGAAGATCAAAACCCACACGTTTTCTTCCTCATGGAATTGAACCTGTTACTTTCTTGGCTTCCCACATGTTGGATAGGAGCATCACCGGGGCTGCAGTCTCCTCACCTCCACTCCTGAGGATGTGGCCATTTATTCTTGAGCCTCTGGCTCTAAAGGTTCTACCCTTCCAAGGCTCTTCCCCTTCTCCTGCTAGTTACCAGGTATTATCAGTGAGCTACCAGGTCTGTAGGGGTCTGAAAGAGGCTCTCTGGAGAATCCAGGGCAACTGTGAGCCCAGGAGTTGCCCATCCTTGGTTTTATCCCTCCCTTGGCTCTAATCTTTCTTTAGGCCATAATTTCCCTGGTGCCAGCTTTTTTTCTCCTGGGGCATCCTTATCCCTGGGCTCTCTGCTGCATATTGGCTGTGCCAGCTTCCAGTAGGCCACTGGCAAGGCCAGTGGGGTCTCTGCAAGCCCTAAGCTGAAGAAGTGAGGGCAGTAATCCTGCCTCTGCCGTGGCTTCCCCAAAGCCCCTAGGGGTGCGATCCTTAGGGGAGAGGGTCTATAGATACCGTATTTGAATTCCATTACTTTAAGATCTGGAAAGTTAAACTAGTTGAAACGGTCATCTTGCTTCCCAATCTAAGCACCCATGACCCTGGGACAAGCCTTTTCAAGAAGTGGTTCATTTTGCTTTACACAGTAGATCTGTTCCAACAGTTCTGTGTAAGCCAAATACTATTTTGTGATGCATTTGGACTGCTGACCATTTAAAAGCAGCCTGTGTGATTGCTTCTTTTGTAAAGCAAGCAACCTCCCTCTACTTTAGCTGTTTTGACTATTCGGATTTTCACATATTGGGCTTACCCAGAGTGGAGCACACCTTTACAGGGCTGTGGTTGACGCTGGGTAGACATCTGCATCTGTGTTGTGTGTGTGGTGTGGCTGACCAGTAGGTGAGTATTCCTGCGTGTGTGAGTGAAGCCACTCCCAGGCTGGTGCTCTCCTCCTGTGCCCGGTGACTGCCCAGTGGCAGCTCCAGCTGCCCTTCACTCCCACCTGCTGCCAAAGTCCCTGTGCTAATGGGATTACAAATACAAAAAGTGGAAAAAAATTTTTCGTAAACTTTGTTTTATATTAAAAAAATCCATAAGTCTGTGTGTGTTAAACATGAGGTCCTGCCTCTGTGGCTGTGTTTGAAAAAATAAAGTTTTATTAGAATAATTCCTTTTCCCAAGCAATCTTGTGTACTCTAGTGTCTTCTTCCCTTCTCCACAAAGAAAGGCAAGGAGGAAGCAGGGAGAAGGCCACCTAACTCCAACAACCCCTTCCTCTAGGGCATGGCTGGGCCTTCACCCTTTGAGGGTGGTATCTGGTCCCTAGACCCTTCACGGCCATGGCAGACATATCCTGTGGCCCAGGCTTGTGTTAAGGCCTTGGTTATTTCTGGCAGTCTGATTTGGTCTTTGTTGCCCTGGTACCTATCTCCTCTTCCCTACGGTCACTCTCCCAGCAAGTTGAAGTCAAGTATTTATACATTCTAGCTCCCTGAGAAATGTCTGATGGCCCAGTCAGGAACTTGTCTAGATTGGTTTGTAGGCTTTAGGAAGTGGGGAGAAAGCAGGCCGAGAGATTTGACTGGGAATCTTTTTCTTTTTTAAGAGTTTTCACATTTTATACCCTGGAGAGATGGAGATTTAGTCATCAGAATTCAGATTCCAAAGACCTAGGCAATTTCTCCATTCTAAAAATACTGCTTTTGGAAAATTATCCTAACAGCAGAGCTTCTCTTTTGCCCTAGAAGTTGGTATTTTCCATAGTGCTTCAATTTGGGATGTTCGTGTGTTCAGGGAAGCTGTGTGGTTCACTCTCTTTAGACATTGCTATTCCACCCTTTTCCCTATGTTAGCATTCTTCCAGTTTGTGTGGGTGAAATTTAGTTGCTTAGAGATCCAGGCAGGAAGGAGCCTCTGTCCCTAAGGCATAGCCTTTCTTTACCAGTTGTGGTGCTGACTTGCCAGGCACAAGAAGAGTCAAGTTGCTTAGCCTCCGTCCCAGTTTCCTGCTTCAAATTTGTGGCACTCATCTTTGAATACCAATGAAGTGTGCAGGAGGACAGGATTGGCTTGATAACCTGGAGCAGGAGCCTTTGAGGGGATGAAAATACACTCCAAAAAGAGTGGGGGTTGTCACCTGCCCCACAAACAAAGGAGGGGCTTTGAGGAGGGTGGGGCTTTGGCATGTGGTTAAAGAAGGCTCAGTATTAAAAGTTTTTTCTTTCTTTAAAACTGCTGCTGTTTCATTTCACCCACTGAGCAAGGGTAAAGTTTGAACATCCAAATTGACTTTCCTTTTTTTCCTTTATGTTCATTCTGTTGTTGCTGTTAGATTTTTATACTGTTTCTTTTCTGTGAGGCCAAGTGAGATTTCATTTTCCACTCCTGAAGTGTGCTAGTATAGGAAAGAATGTAAACTCCATGAGGACAAGGGTTTTGTTCAGTGTTGCATCCCCAGCACGTTGAAAAGTTACTGGCACATGGAAAGGGCCTGCCATATTTGTTGAATGAATTTCTCATCTTTGCCTTCCCATCCCTGAACTTAGGCACATTTCTGTCTCTGGTGCTGAGAAGCCAGCTTTGGAACACTAGGTCAATAATTAGAACTCCATTCAGGAGAAAATCCCAACAGTGAATTTTGGTAGAAAACCTGCAAGGCAGCCAGCCAGGTTTTAGGAATTCACCCTTGTTCTCTTAACAACTGATAGTTTGTGGGCCGTGTGCTTTAAGAGATGTCTCTTGGCTCAGGAAAGCATTCTGATTCAGGCCTCGGGTTGGCTTATGTGAGATGGAAGTTCCAAGGAATAAAGAGAGAAAAAGTTCAAGGAAATGTTTCCTTGGTGCTCTACAAGGTTAGTTCTAGAATGACTTCCCAAGAGGTTTCATACTTTTTCTAAAGTCAGTAGTTGCTGCCTGCTCCCCCTTGGAGCCTTAGACCTTTGCTGCAAGAAAAGTATGTCAAGGGTAAAGAAAAGGTATGGACAGGAGTTAACTGAGTAGGCACATAAGTCTTAGAAAAGAACCGGCTACTGCTCTTTCTGTCTGTAGGGCAGATCATTGAAAGAAATGGTCACTTTTAGGATAACAATCAGGGATTATTTCTAGACCCTTTATCTATGTGGTTTGTATCTACTTCTGTATATACTCATTCTGCCTCCGTAAGACCATGCACCCTGTGCTAATCTGATACTGTTGATGTCAATGATTGAGGTTTCCCAGTGCCTGGTGTGCAAGACCATCTAGGTCAAAATTTCAGTATCTCCCCTTCTCTACGGTCCCTTTTCTATCAGGAGTTATCAATCTCTCACAGCTATATTAAATGAATTGAGATAGGAGTGGTGGGGTTTTCTTTGCCCCCACTCCCACTACTTCCATGGTAAGAGGAGGTGCTATTGAACCAGAGAGGAGAATCTCTTTATTGCTGGTCTCATCCCAATTCCCCTCTAAGTTTAACTGAGAAACACCTGTACTTAAAACATTGGCAGACTTGGAAAAGGAAGAAGTTCCATGGGTTTAAGTCAAAATACCAGGACATTGGAAGCACATGGGCCTTCACCCAGTGGAAAGAATGGTATTGTAACATCCACTGGATGTAGCACATTGGTCAATTGGAAAGGAACCTATGACGTACTGGGAGTATAGAATAGGATGGTACTATGTTATGGGCCAGTGAGAGAAAGATATTGTGTCCCATGGGCCAATGGGGAGAGTTTCCTAAAAGAAAGTGACAGGAATGGTAAGGGCGTATTTTCAGGACAGGAAATCAATAGATATTGGGGCACTAACTGCTTAGCTCAAAACACCAACTCGAGGTACCTTGCCCCTCAAGCCCCGCCCACCCCAGTAAAAGTCTTTGGGGTCTGAGGCGGGTAAGCTAAAGCCTTCTCACATATGGGACCCCCCCCCCAGAAGGAAGGTTGGGCCCAGGATGGTGCCATGAAGACCGAAGGACCCGCCCACTTCCCCACCCCAGCCGAAACTGCAATTCCCCTCCCTGCCGCAGGGGGCACTGCAGGCCCCGGGGAGGTTGGGGCGGAGCGCTGCGAGGGGCCCGGAGCTGCCGCCCCGCTCCGGAGCGCGGGGGGCGCTGTGCGGGGCCCGGGCTGCGGCTCCGCTCCCGGCCACGGGGGGCGCTGCGCGGCGCCGGTGGTTGGTGGTGGCTGTTGGGGGGGGTGGGGGGGAGCCGCGGCCGCGGGTGGTGCGGAGGGAGGCCTTGCGGGCGGATCGGGCGCTCAGCGGCAGAGGTGGTGGGAGGCGGCGGGCGGGAGCGCGGGTCTGGCCGGCCCTGGCGATGGCGGACGCGGCGGCCTCCCCGGTGGGCAAGCGGCTGCTGCTTCTGTTCGCGGATACCGCGGCCTCGTCCTCGGCCTCGGTCCCCGCGGCGGCGGCGGCGGCGGGCGGAGATCCGGGGCCTGCGCTGCGCACTCGGGCCTGGCGGGCCGGCACGGTGCGGGCCATGAGCGGGGCGGTGCCCCAGGACCTAGCGGTGAGTGGCGGCCGAGGCGGGCACTTGAGGCCGGGGCTGCGGGGCCTGCGGGCGGCCTCCCCGGGGGCCTTTGTGAGGGGGCGGTGGGGTGGGGGTGACCCAGTTCCGCGCCCCCAGATCTCCTTAGCGCCCCCCACCGGCTCCTCAGCACCCCGAGCTCTGGCCGGCATGGCTTCCGCGTCGGGGTGCGCGCCCCGGTTTCCCCCCGGGGGCGGCCAGGGCGCCAGGAGCTGCCGCTTCCACCTGGGAGGCCCCGCCTCCTGAGAGACCCCTTTCTCAGCGTCCCCCTCTCCCCAACACGCCTTGGGAACAGGCTCCCGAACCCTGGGTTCCCGGGCCCCTCAGAGTTCGGCTGGTGCTGTCGCTGCCTCCTGAAAGACGCGGACCTGTAGTTCCCAGCCTCCCTGGAAACCTGCGCCCTGCTCCCTTCCTCCCGGAGCCCCGAGTGGGGCGGGAATGTGGGCAATTGTGGGAGGCACAGAGGCTGCAGTTGGAGCTGCTCGGGGCTTTTTTATCTGGCAGTTACTTCCTCCTTGTCTGAGCCCGGCTCGGCCTGGCGGTCTCCAGAAAGGCCAGCTCTCGGGACTCTCTTCGGGCTCCTTTCTCTTTGAGCTTCTGGGTGACAGGAGCTGCAGTTGTGGCTGTTTTTGATAAGTTTGAGATGTGTCTTAGCGGGCGAATGGGGCTGCTGCTGGGTGGTGCTTTTTTGCTCCCAGCTCGGCTACTCCCTCAACCCTGGGAGAGGTTTTGTTGTGAAACTTTGTGTTGGAGCTTGGGCGCTTTTGGAATACTTGCCTTGGTATATTTTGTGATTAAAGTTGTTCGGTAAAATAGAACTTAACTAGTATTTGGGATCAGGTTGTGTTATTTTTGTTAATGTGGCGGCAAAATATTGTCTTTGAGCTTTGCAAGCCTCTTTAGTTCCTCATTCTGATAGCGGCCCTAGCTTCTCTGTTAAGATACTATGAAAATAGGGAGATTCTTTTGGAATGTAATGCATCAGCAGGCAGAAGGCAAATTTTCGTGATGAACTTGCTCCTCTAGATATTTTATTTGCTGTAAATTGGAATGATTTTGGGGGATTTGATATTGTAGGTTTCTGATACTCATTTTTCTATCTATTGATCGGTGGTGGTAGGCTTCCCCCCCTCCCCCTTATCAAGCTTTATGGGTTGTTTGGCTTGCGGTTGGCTTAGCCTTTGCTTCTGCTACTTGAGTTCACATTCTTTGATCTTTCTCCATGCTAAATAAGAAAAGGCTGCTTGGGCATTTATGAGGCTTCAGTGGGGCGAATTTGTAAAAAGATACCAGGAATACAAGGGGACGAGGATGATGATGAAGGAGGGGATTTGGATTTAAATTCCTCTGTGCTTTCTTCAAAAGACTGCTTTCTAGGTTGGGGTGGGGGAGAGGTGTCTCTCTCAGAGCCATTAATTTACCCCCGTAAGTGCAAAACATAATGAAGATCCATCATTACATGCATACTTTGACCTAAGGCCTAGCCTGCCCTAGCTTTTCAGTTGGAATTTTATATTCTAGTTGTTTCCTCCATCAGATGAATTGCTAATGAGCTCTGCACCTGAAATGGCTACCCATTCACTTTGTTGTTTGCTGGGCTCCCTAAGGGCAGAGGTTTTTGAAGCTCACTGAAATGCTGGACACTACTAAGCTAAATACTGAATAATTTTACCACTGGGCTCATTGAATTGGTTTCTCAAACCAAGTAAAAAGTTGCAGTGATTCTTGGAAATTAAAGCCAAGCGTACATTAGAACTGTGTTGAGGTCTTGCATGGAGCTGTATACATAAAGAAGCAAAGGCAGATTAGGATTTTGAGAATAAACAAGCTTGTCCTGTATGTTTATCAAGGGACATAGATGAGAAACAACCACAACAAAACTCAGAGCCTTTAGAATTTTTCACCAGTTTGCAAAATTGCTCAAGAATTGCAGTTGCTATGTTGAGGTTCTATTAATGACAATGACTAGTCTAGGATGAGAACTGGCCGTTTGTTTTTCTTTTTCATTAAAGAGATTTCCTTTGGACCCTAGACATGTGGGCCTTACCAATTTGCACCACACACCGTAGTAAACACAACCGTCTTCCAATCAAAAGTGTTCTTCCTGTACTCAAGGGTGGAGTTTTCAAGCAGCTGGCCTGTGATTGGGCAGATTTTCATTCAGTTAGTTTAAGATGTTTTCAGGCATGCTTGGTTTTGAGTAATGCATAGCAGGGCGCCCCCTGTTAAGGATGAGTAATTGAGGGTTGGATGAATGAGTTTTTGAAGTGATTGAAAACACTTCTCAGTTTTAGGCTCCATTAATACCCTCTTTCTAAATACTTTTTAATCCTGAATGTTTCAAAATGTAGCCCTGCTCCATTTAATGAACCCTTTTCTGGAAAACAATACCAAAGCCATGTACTACCTTAAAATGAAATATGAAAAAAGAAAAGTCAGGATCCTTTTGATTGGGAGTTTTGTTGTTGAGGGTTTGATAGTGGGCATCTTCATCAAAGCTATGCTAACAAATAATTACTGAGATTTTTAGATGTAATAGGGAAAAAACCTCCCCGCCCCCCATGGAATAGTAGCTTTATTTGTATTTCTAAATAGGCTTGTTTAAAAAAAAAGTCTTGTTGCAAGATTAGTTTAATGGATTTTTATGCATTTCTTTCTGACTCTAAAGTCTGTCCTCTTTGTGTTCTAAATCATTATTGGTTCATATGAGTTGCAGAGACCTTGGAAC